TCAAGCCACCCCTGTTAAAAATGGGAGATGGGACTTATCCTCAAAGGACAAAGATCCTGAGTCAGTCTCAGAAGAGGAAGCTGTCTGCAGCATGGCTAAAATGTGAGCTCCATCCTCTAACAGTCTGCAGGCCAAGTTCCCAGGGCTTAACATGGGAAGAGCAAGCAGGGATGAGAAAGAGTTTAAAAGCTCTGATTCACACCCTGAATCTACAACATCTCCTCTCTCCTCTCTGCTTCATATGAGTTAGTGCCATATACAAATATATCATTTATGACCAATAATTCCATCTCCAGAGGCCTTTAAGAGGTGAAAAAAGAAAAGAAAAAAAAAAGAATTAAAATGTTAGGATCTCTTCAGTTACACCTTAGAATGCCATTTAATTATGAAAGCCCCTCTGCCTTTCACGTCATTCATAGTCACAGATGCCACATTTAATGCCTTCCTGTACTAATTTATGTCTACTCCCTCGTTCATTAGTGACAAATACGTATGGGAGGGCTGATGTGACCTATTCATTTGTGGCTGAGTGAAGCCTTTCGGCTGAGCATGGTGCCACGTTGGGGCTCCAAGGGGTCGCACTGGGGGTGGTGGTCCACTAGTCCAATGTCTCCCATCAAATGCTGGCAGGGGTGGGCACAAAACAAGCTCCCATTCCTTCCCATCGCCTCAGGAGACACCATGGCAACTAGGCCAAAAAAACAAACAAAAAATGGGTCCTCCTCACCATTCCTGGCATGCCCTGGCATCCACTGTGAAATGTCTGAAGTCTTTTACTTCTGTGTTCTTTAGAGTCGAGATAACTGAGCGAGCTTTAATGTGGAACATGCGCCTCCTCTCTCGCTTCATCTCATCTATCCTCCACCCCACCTCTTTTTCCCTTGTTCCCCCCTCACTGAAGGATGATCTCCACGGCTATGGTAGCGAGTGTGAGGCTTTGATAATGCCATAGCTCTGCTTCAAAGGTCTCGCTCCAAGTTACAATTTTCCCAGTGTTGGTAGGAAGAATCTATAGAATCTAGGTGCTTCTCCATCAGGTTTCCATTCCAGCCTGCAGACTCACAGAATCATCAACAAACACTCATCTGTCTTCGAAAGCTGCTTGAGAAGTCCAACCTTCGTTCAGCACATGCCGTTACAACTGTTGCGTTCGCTGTCACAAAAGGTTGATTGTCTGAGGGCTTGAATTAAGTGGGAAAGTCTGTGGGCGTCGGTGGAAAAAGAGTGAGATGACTCTCTCTCTAGGGAATCCTGACATCATACACACAGCATGTTATGTTCACAACTGGTCTCAAGCAGGCACCAAATAAGTCATCAGACTGGGTGGCATTTTGAAGATGGTCAAACATTCACATGGAAATTAGAGTGCTTAACAGAAACCGTATATGAACAGGAGCTTGTTACAGGTCCTGCTCTTGGATTTTACTGTGTAATCATAATTAGAAACTCATTAAAATTACATCTGAACTATCATCACTCAGGTTTCCATTAGCTTGAGCAAAGTAGTCTTTGCTTCAGCAAAGAAAACTGACAAATAGATGAGGATAGAATTACTAGCTCTCTATAAAAAAGTCATTTTTTAAAAAGTATTTCTAAAGTGCTGGTAAACATCTGCTGATCCTCTTCTGCTTATCCTTCTCAGGATTGGAGTCCATCCCAGCTCCCATAAGGCAAAAGGCGGGGTACAGCCTGGACAGACTGCTGTTAAGCGCTTTGAGAACTTTTCCAAACATCTTGGTTTTATTTTGGATGCTTGTATTATTTTTATTTTGCACACACAAAATTTTTTGATTTGACAAAAATCCAAAATTCTTAGCCTCCCAGATGCTAATAGTTAATTCTGTACCCTTCTTGCTGGATAATAGCCTGCAGTTATGTACTAGTTTTCAACAAGTTTCACCTGAGTGACCCAGCCCATTCTTCTTTGGCGAACCTCTCAAGCTACTCCAGATTTGTTGATCTTCTGGCATGAACCTCAGGTTTTCAGTTCACCCCACAGATTTTCATTAACATTCAAGTCAGGGCTTTGTGCAGGCCAGTCAGAAATGTTCTCTTTTGTTTCTGGAGGTAGATCTTCACCAGTAGCGGCACATATTTTGTGTCATTGTGTTAAGAGACAAAGCGATGAACTGGACCGCGTTTTGCTGCCGAATGCTGGAGATTTCCCTTTCAAAATCTTCACATATCCTGCTTTCTTCTTGATTCATTCATTGAGGAGATTCCTGGTTCCAGATGCCCTGAAACATCTCCACAGCATAATAGTCCCACTACTGTGGGGACGCCGTTGTTTTGATTGTACCCCTCTCCTTTCTTTCTCCAGATATAACCAGTCTACATAATCTTTCTCCAGGTTGTTCTTGGCATACTTCAGTTTGACTTAAAGGTGTCTCTCAGATGTAGAGTTTTGTTTTTGAAGCCCATTCAGGATTCTAGTGGCTGTCATCTTCGAGACTACAACACCTGTCTCGGTCAAGTCTTTCACTAGTGTGTTGGCAGTTGTTCTGGGGTCTTTAGACACATCTATCACTGTTTTTCTTGACAGAGTCTTTGAAATCTTTCACTTCCTACCTCTGCTGGGCTTGTTCTGTACTGTGTAGCTCTCTTTTGAATTTCTTCATGATACTTCACACTCTAGTTGACATTTGGAAACACTGTGACTGTAACTTCATATATCCATCTCCTGTTTTTCAGGGGGCTAATAATATTGACCCTGGTAATTGAGTTTTTTTCTGATATTGTGTGCAAACAGATATCATTTATTTTTTCTATAGAAACTAGTATGGTGGGAAATGCAATGTTGAAAATCCCTTGCTAATAATTTTGTCCTTATCTGTGAGTCTAACTTCATATGATGCCTATATCAAAATCAACATAATCCGAATTTACCAAAAAGATACCATGAAGCCTTTGATACACTAGGATTAAATTAAATTGACTGATTTGGGCAAGTTATTTTATCCTCTTACATCTCAATAGATCTTAAAATTTGAAATGAGAAATCAAAACACGGAATTCGGGTGAGGTAAATGTCAGCTTAAACAGCATGAACTCAGTGTCTCAGGAACCACAAATAAGGTGTGCTTTAAAATATACACGTTTGGTAGCCAGACATATCCTGGTGTTACATACAAATGTAAGTCATCTTCAGGATAGTAAATACAAGTAAAAACACTCCCAAAACTGCAAGAGCTGTGCAAACGCTCCGTATGCACATGAATTCTCAGTCAAGGCCTTTGAATATTCTTCAGAGATTTATTAGGTTAAAATTAACCCTAGCTCTTCTTACCAAGAGCTCTTTCTAATTTTACTCAGTTCTTCAGCTGGAATTTTCTCTTGACAGACTTGAAATAAAAATAAAACAGCTGTAACTGATTTCATGTCAGATGTGTTAAATATATTAAACTACTGATGGCGTCTCATCTCAAAGTACGAGGCCTCCTGCTGGCCGCCAACTAAGTGATTTTGCAAAAGCAGCTCCATAATTAGATTGTCTGTATTTTCTTTCCAATGAAGCAGATGTAGCAGTCACACAGTTTTGTGTGATGAGGGAAGCTCTGGATTGGGATAATTTATGCATCAGAGGGAGACCTGCTAGACGACATGCTGGGGAAATCTCCCACTACAGGTGGGTTTTCATCATCCAGTCTCTTTCATTCTCTCTCCCTGCACTTCATTCACCTGCACACCTAACACAGCTTCCAATTAGGAGTGCCGGAGCTCGCCCGTGTGGGATATTGCCTTTGATGTAAACACACTCTCATTCACGTGTGATGGATCTACACTAAGTTCATCAGAGTCTGTTCATCTGTGTTTTTAATGTAAATTTAAGGAGATTCCCACACTTGTATGTGGCAAATCAAACACAGGCTACGTCAACTGAATACTTAGACTGTAGTGGAACATTATTCCCCACCTTTTCCCACCTGTGTTTTTGCCTTTTTAAAATAAGCAGCATGACTACCCAGACGTTTACCCAGTTTCTGGTGTGACTTTCCTCATAAGGTTTCTTATATCGTCTGTGCTTTCTGCCATTCCATTTGCTTAACAGAGCAACCTCTGTTTTCCATTACAGAGGCTTAATAATTTTGCTGATTTATTGATCAGCAAAATGGCAAAATGGACTGGTGGTTTGTTATGTTGCTGATGGCTAATGCGAACCTGTTTAATGGAGATGGATTTAAGTGTGTCTCACGACGACTCTACCCCTCATTCTTCTGTCAAAATGTAGCTGACTGGAAATAAATACTAACAGAAAGGAAATAGAGTTCCTCCCTCTCACTTGCTCTGCAGAGAATTTTTCTCATTAGAATTCTCAAAATCCTTCGAAACTCTCCAGCATTGACACTGACTGTGCGGGGCATGTTAATCTAGAAGACCAAGACTAAAAGCTTTAATACTGCAGCAGCGGACTGCAGTTGAAAAAAAGAATTTGCATGAACACTAAATATCAGCGCAATTCTCAGCTGGCCAGCAAAGGTCTTTCGATATGGCACGCTGTGACAACAATGACTTCTGGCTGAGTGCATGAAGTACGTGTAACACTCTGACTGTCAAAATGTTGCTGAACAGAAGTAATTATAGGATGTGGACTAGAAAAACTTTACTGGAAAAATCTGTTTTCCCTAAAATGACTATAAACCCTGAACTATTGGTCAAATTATACAAACTGTATTCATGTTGAACCAACAGTACAGTTTATATGCCATATCTGAGGCTATCCGTCTACTAAAACTAAGCTAAATATGAAAGAACATTTAAAACAAAATAAAATAAATAAAAATAAAAACAAAAATACTGGCGGCCACCAGTGGCCCTCAGCCTCCAAGTAGATACAGCAAAGGTATAAATTATAAAATCCTATGTTGCCTCATTCTCGCATTCATATAAAACCAGCTAAATTAAAAACTGACATAAATAAAAATGTCAGTTTGGCGAAATTTGTCAGTACAGCCAGTATCAGGAGGATTTCTCCCTTCGTAACAGCTGTGAATGGGACTGACCTGGTGGAGCTCATTCCCCAAAGGGAACTCCTGGAAATACCCGGGGGCTGCTGATGTGGCGCGGATGGCCTGCCAAAGCTGATGCTGGCAGCCCCCAAGGTAGTGTGAGCACATCCCAGGCAGCAGGTTGTAGTTCCTAAAAACATATGCCTTCAGAGGAGTGCCCCGATTCACAATGGTGCTCACAGCTGCCATCTGTGGGTGAGGGCATCACCATACAGGGTGACTTTCTTTTTCAGTGTCAGGTTGTAGTTGAACAAAAGCAGACAAGAAATGCAGGCATAATATCTAGGTCGACATTCTGACAGATCAATTTTATGTCATCACTGAGCTCTGAGCCTCAGAGGAGACATGCTGACATCTGAAAAGCATATACTCTTCTTTAGGCCCACTTTCTTATGGCTTTAGAGCCTATTTTTATCTGTCAAGCAGAACAGTAAAGAGAGGGATATGGAGAAAGAAGGTTTCTGAGTAATATACAAGTAAACAAGGTGAGGCAAAAAACACGCTGGGGGAATAATGAGTCAGACCATCTCATAAAGCTCACCTTGGGGCAGTCAGGGTTTCTTGAAGTCTCCACCATGAGGTGAGAGCCCATTTTCTCTCTGTGGAGGTTCACAAAGGTGATGTTATTTTCTAGTGTAGAGGGTTTAGAGTAGCATAAAGACTAAAGGTAAATGAGTTCCCTTCAAAGGAATGCTGACTGTGATTAATCATACAGTAATCTTTATTCTGTAATATAGCTTTCAGACTTTTTCAACAAGCAGCTTTTTTTTTTTTTTTTTTTTTTTAGGCATTTCTGTATTTTAATTGCTCCCATGGCTGTCGAAGATCCATTGTTGTTGCATGGCACCACAATAAAGGAGAAAGACAAGGTGCTCATCTAGACACTGATCATGAACTATAACAGCAAAACTCACTTGAGGATGTTCTCCCACGCTTCACTGTCATAGAAAGCGTGGTTCCAGCCCATCTTCATGGTGCCGACAAATACATTCTGCTTGAAAATATCTGAGCCCAGCTTTCGGTACAGATCATCACACTCTTTCAGGGGGATCTGGAACATGCCTAGCATGAACCCGAGCACAGCACCTGAGTTAAAACAACCAGAAACATTCAAATGAGAGTGACTGAGATGTACTGTTAATTGAGCTGCTGTAAACAGGAGGTAGAGGAGGTTCAGACAATCCTTTGAGAAAGCATCGAGGAACAGCTTGTTCTCGTCCTCAAAGATGATGTTCATACAGTAATGAACCAGGTTTACTGGAAGGAAACTTACTGAAGGATCATCTGTTATAACCAGATGCTTTGGAGATCAGTTTACAGGATGTGAATAGGAATAACATGGTTAGAAGACTGATCAAGTATTGCCAACAGGATTAGGGAGTCACAATGGCACAATGTGGGCAAAAGTGCCAGATGTGGCCTCAATAGGTTTCTAAATGTGTGAGAACACCATTTGATTTAGGAGGCGTGTTGTCACATTTGACAACTCTCACTAAATCTGAAAATGGAGTATAACCAGCTGGTGGAGATTAAAACATATAACTGAGAGAATGCTGGACAAACAGAAACTTCTAACAGTGATTAAAGCCCAATGTGCTTTGCAAATAAACAGCAGGCTTTTAATCTATTTTTAATCAGTTTGAGGTTGGTCCACAGCTCCCCCTTGTGGTGATTTAACATCAAGGAAGCGCCTAATGTACTTGACAGTAAAATACTTGTAAATTTTATGAATTCATTTTATGAATTTAAAATCAACTGTAATGAAAGCAAAATTTATTGTGCAATTGTACAATATTAGTTCTCACCCAGACTGAGAGGAAAGGGGCTGCTGGTGAAATTGAGGTCGAAATTCAGAGCAGAGCAACAAATAGGTCAGTGCTGCCTGTACTCTGCTAAGTGTTGCACTTTGTTCAGATAATCCATATACATGCCTCTGACTATACAGAAGTAGGGCAGGAGGACAGCGTACCTGTGCTGACACCACAGATATAATCAAACAGTTTGTAAGTGGGTTTCCCAGTCAGGGCTTCTAGCTTCTGTAACGTCTGAAGGGCAACAATTCCCCTGAAAGTAGAAAGCCAGACAAATACATGGATACATGCATGAGACATTAGTAACCAACTCGTCATCAAGAGCACAAGATTTAAGACTAATAGAAGAAGTGTACAACCTTTGACACTATAAACTTGATATCATCAACTCATATCTTAAAGTAAAGATGAGTGTGGGGGGCAGGGGAGTGGAGCCGAGCGTGTACCTTAAACCTCCTCCATCTATGGACAAGATCCTTATTCCTCTGCCTTTGACAGGTTTATGATAGCCCACCAGAGCGAGTGCTTCTCTAACGGCTGCTCTCAGACCCGGATCGTTAGCCTGTTCCAGACGGAGGAGGCAAGGGATAACTTTCTCCTGACAAATACAAACATAGCATGACAGTCAGCACCGGAAACAGAAAATGCGGTCAATCCACCATGAAGTGGTGTGGACTAGATAGTAGGAATGTAGAGGTGAACCGTCTCTCTGTTACGAGACGTAGCTGCGCTCTCAAAACCAAAACTTCAACATCATAACGGGTGAACAAATATGAAAACAAGCAAAGTTCAGGCATGCATGAATAAACAGTCTTCTTTTTGATCGTATATTATATTCTCCTTGTTTTGATAATGCATCATGATTACTTCCTGTTAGATTTACTCTTTCCTTGTATTTCTCACCCTGCATCCCATCTAATTCTGCTGCCTGATATCAGTCAGCACATAGTTACATAAACCAGGGCACAAACTATCGACGCTTACTGAATCAGAGGTCATCCCCACTGTTTCCATGAAAAAGGCTGAAACCAGTTTCGCTCGTTCACCGGTCATTATTTATTCAGACTGAATTTAGCGAAAAATACACAGTGCAATCAATTTGCAATGAGAAATTAATGTTGACCTTCGTTGTCATGGTTAAAAATGGATGGGGGTCGATACTGGTGTGACCACTGCACATCTGTAAAACCTTGATCAGAAATAAAACATGACAGCTAAAAGGTACTGCAAACAGACTGAGCAATGTGACCGAAATAAATGCCGAAGATGTCTGAAGAGATTCTTTTTTCCCCCCTTCACATCATGAGTGCATGAAAACTTAAATATTATTACATGTATTTCTGTAGCCACTTGCAAAGTGAGGCTCTCAACAATATGAGAAACCAAAAACTGGATTTACAGAGAAAAACAACCTTGGTTTAAAATACTCTAGATTAGTATTTGTGGTATCACTGATGTGACATAAATCTATGTAACAGTGTGCAGTCTGCATTTAGAGCTGTGTGTAACCTGCTGAGCGCAGCTCACAGACTGACATTTTGCAAGCATCGGAGAATTCTCAAATACAATCAGAAAGCATAACGTATATGATTCTCATGCTAATGCTGCAGAAGCTCAGCAACTGACCACACAGCATATGCAGACCGTACATACATAACGTGGAAATTAACATGTAAATAAAAAGAAACATGCTGCTGAAAACTGTTTTGACAACTCCGTCAGCTCTCTGTAAAAAAACATCACCCACGTGTGGATGTTAATCTGCTGGAAAATGAACAAGAAAAACCATCTTTACTGTGTAACGCAATTGGCTGCGTGTACGCCGCACACACCCACACAGTGTTTCTGTGTTTTCAGCTCTTTATTTACAGTTTTGCCTTTTCAGGTTGTTGTTGCTGGCTGGTTCGCACAGTTGCTGCGACAATTGCGCGCCCGCAACTGTCTGCTTTCAGTTCCCTCATCCTCTCGGATCCTGGCGTGCCCAAATAGGGGAGGCATGATCTCCAGCTGTGTTGGTCAGTCTCCCCTGGCACTGCCCCATAAACCCACTGCACCACCCCTCCCCTGCAGCTGAGCCACAGACCACACCTCGCCACATACTGCTACATTTCTCACCTTCACTGCAACGCCACGAGTCTCTGGAAACTCCAAGAGGTGGTAACTTAAGTCCTCCACCCTGTTGATATAAACCTTTACATCTGATGCCCTGTGGAGAGCCTGAACCAGTGCCCGGGTTCGATTGTCCACACTCACTCTTGCAATAATCTGTGACATAAAAGCAAAAATAAATAAATAAATAAAAAATACAGTACATTAATTCCTCACTAGGCAGGTATGGTGGTTGCTGTGAATATTATGTATGTGCTTGATATATTATTTAATATGTTATAATAATATCTAAGACCATGTATGTTATGCACATTTAAGTCAATCCAGCATTGCCACAAACTAGATGTCAGACTTGCTTAGATCTCCACAACATAAAGGCCCCCGTAAGCCTATAAAGCGCCCTCTCTCTGTGGCCCTGTAACTTTTCAAGGGGGTTATTTTTGAATGTAGCTTCCCAGAACTCCCAGAACAGCAAGTCAACATCCTTCCAATAGACATATAGAATAACAAGTGCGCTGGTCTGAGTTTTAATTGTGGACACTCTGTTGTATTACACTATACTATACTGGATCATTTTAATATGCATATAATGTTTCACTCAAACACAGACAAAAAGCGTAACCCACAAAATCTGGGACTATTGAAAAAAAGTTTATATTGAGTAGAATGAAAGCAGAAAGTCCTATAGCATGCCCGTAGGATTCTCAAGGAACAGGTTATTAAAAATATATGGCTTACTACAAAAGGAAAAATTTATGAAAGAAATACTGCTGTGCTGTAAGCCCTACCTTTTCCCTTTGGTGCAGAAGTTTCTTGGCTTTCTCCTCCGCAGCCTTCTGCTCGTTACTAACCTCAGCCTGTTTCACTGACACGTCCTCTGATTTTTTTTCCTCCAGTACAGCGCTCGTGGACTCTCCTGTTCTGAACTTAGGAACAAGAGGTGCTATGTAGTTCCCAACAAATGCCTGCACAGTTGGAGCTGAATAAGACAGGTACTGTCCTAAACCCCTCTTTGGGGGAGCAGGGTCTTTCTTATTAGACACCGGCATGAGGTCTGAGGTTTGTTGATCCTGAGAGTAAGTGGAAGAGCTTTCAAGATGCTCTTCTTTCTTGTCCTGAGTGTTTATGCTGCTGCCAAAGTATGAGTTGACGTGATTTGCTACATAGGTGTAAGTCTCACCCAGGTTCACTGAAAAGGTGCTCGGATGGAAGAGGTCTGTGGATTGTTTGGGCATTGTGCTCTTGCTCTCCAAATCATTCAGCGAAGGCTGGAGCTCCTCTTGCCTCCTGGAACGAGTAGCTTTGACGCCAGGAGCAATACGTCTCAGTTTTTTCTCCCTCGGTTCCGTTACAGTTGGGACTATAGCAGTGACAGTCTCTTGGGTAGAAGTGGAAAGGGACGGATTGGCAGAAGATCTCTGAACAACAGATTTCTGAGCAGTTGATGCTAGAGAGAGAGCAGCATTAGAAGGATTGTAAGTGGATGTGACTGTATTCTCATCAGGTTTGGGCCTTGTCTCAACACTGGCTTCAGCATTTTTATCAGCCTTTAAAGCATTAGGTTTGAGTCTGGAGATCTTTGACATCAGCTCTGTATGTGTCCCACTCACAGCTTTGGAAACTGTGTCCAGCGTGTTCCTGACACGAGACATATGTCGGCTCAGGCCAGCAGACCACTTTGAAGCTGAAGTGTTCAAATACAGGGTGCTGGTGTGGAGGCCAAGCCGATGTCTAACTTGGTTACCTTTAAAGAACCCCACCTTGCGACCCTTGGCCCTCAGGTGGTGAATGTGCCTCCAGCTGAGATAGCATTCCTTATGGAAAACGGGCTGCTGTGCATGACTCTTACAGTGAAACGCACCACACAAAGGCAATGATGCTGCTGGTTTGTGAGCATGGGACTGCCATATAAGCAATGCTCTACTTATTTTCACCCAGGTATTTGAAGCCCATCTGTGATTCATATTCTTTCAGTCCACAAGGGTTTAACCCATTCGAAGAAATATCAAGAGTACACCCGTGCTTTCCCCATTCATTAACCTGGTAATGAAAAAAAAAAGTTTACATCACCACTACATACACCCAATAAGGGAAACACTGTATAGAATTAATAACCACAGAGCGTAATGCTATATCAAATCTATCATTGTATCTCACACTGTTTATGGTAAATTGTTGACTTAAATTTGCAAGTCAATAAAGCCCTTTGGAATGAATCGATTTAAAAATAAAAACGATAAAAATTATTTTAACAATTGCATAACAGAAAAAAATACCAAAAGAGTTCTTGTTAATCTGGTGTTTGAGTATCGCTCAACTTTTAACAAGCACACTATTTCATTAACTGTCACAGGTGAGAGGACAACAGGTTCACTGTTAACTATGTCAACATCAGCAACTAGCTAACAGAGTACCGCTAAACGCTAGCTTTTATACAGGCCGCACACAAAACAACAAGGCATACCAGTCCTTTGTTTTGCTGTTTCACGAGAGACCAGATTCACTTAATCCTTCTATTAAACGGCCATCCTTGATTAACCATAACACAAAAGAATAACACCTTACGGGAGTGTAATAGGTTGCTCGACCCGATGCCTAATTTCCAGAGTGATGTGACATTAACAGTCGAAAGAAAAACAATGGTCACATGATCCTCCATCTTCGCTGCGATTGGCCAGTTGTCCTTTGGTCCTCTAAATAGTTTCTGTTGATTGGTTAAGCAGATTCTCCCCACCGTTGACGGCTGCATAGGGTACACTTAATATGCTTTACGGTGTATGCCGAATGTGTCCAGGGGAAGCGGAGTCAGCATTTTCTATGAAGAAATTGTCCCCACACGTTTTTTGAAACTCGGGATTTGCTGTTAAAAATTGAAGCGCTGCAGGTGGAATTAAAGAGATGCTACCCAAATAGTTCAATCACATAAACAGCAAAATCTTTTGCATCAAAATTAAATAAAACCACTTGTGCGTATTCAAATAGTTATAGCAAGTTTAGTAACTAATGCGAGTGCCTGTGGGACTCACAACACTAATTATGGACATTTTAAGAAGGAATATTTACGGCATTGACCGACAGAGGGCAGATAAGATAGAATTCGTCAGGTCTAAAGAGATACCGCAAAACTAGCGAAGAAGACATGGAACTAGTCTCATTTCACACTACTCGTCTATAACACCTACTAATAACAACTTAATACCATGATGTTTGGTGTTGGTTAAACGGTTAATGACCGCTTGTGTAGAAAGGAAGCGGCAGACGACACCCAGACAGGTAATTGATTGAGTCGGAGCCTGAGTAGACTGTGATGGGGACCGCTAGCATGTGTTAGCCACGGCAGGCTAGTATTAAGAGAGGTTGGTGCCGCCGTTTAAAAATGTAAAATTTTAAAAGATAAATTCTAATTCAAACAGCAGTAGCCTGTACCAGTTCTTTTCTTATTGGCTAAGTTTTCATTCTCCAAATGTAGGTTAAGACAGATGTTGCGTTTAAAAGGCGGTGGTTCTTCAGAGGCTAGGACATGTGATACTACCAGTTACACCGTGCTGTCTGGCTTGAAACTCACTATTTGTGCTGTACTTTTCTCTCTTGAATGACAGGACACTGGAGCCATGGCAGCTGCACAGTCTGTGCTAACGTTTGCAGTGTGCGTCCTCGTGATAACAGAGCTGATACTTGCCAAGAAGGACTACTATGACATACTGGGAGTGCCTAAAGGGGCCACAGAGCGCCAGATAAAGAAGGCTTTCCACAAGCTTGCAAAGAAATATCACCCAGATAAGAACAAGAGCCCTGATGCTGAAGTGAGATTTAGGGAAATTGCTGGAGGTACAGCTGATTTGTTTATTTTGGCGTATTTTGGGAAAATTAGTAGTTATCTGGCATGTCTTGGATATGATTGTTATTGTAATGTAGCGTTTTAATTCACTATCAAACAGGAAAATTGATATTTAGACTGTTAAAATTTATATTTATGAGTGACAAATGAAATGTGAACAGTACAATGTGTGAATCTGATATTACTACTACTAATAATAATAATTAATGATAAGGAACACTGATGCATGTTGGGGTTTTCTTGGTGGCACATGTTGATCCAATGGATAAGTTTGTCCTTTAATTGATCACCAATTACCTATATTACAGTTTGGTTAGTCATGCCTTTTAGTCGGGGCTTTTTCAGCCACACCTTTTTTAATGTTCAGATAATAAAACTCCCTCACTTTGACTGAATTTTGTGTTTCTGTATTTCTGTGCAGCTTATGAAACTTTATCAGATGAGGCAAGAAGAAGCGAGTATGATCAGTTCGGGGACACTGACGCGTACTTCGATGGGGAGACGCAAGGCAAACACAGACAAGGTGCCCACCAACCTTTCACCTTCAGTTTTAATGACATATTTAAGGACTTTGACATCTACAGCCAGAACAGACACGCCCGTCACCGAAGACACTTTGATGAACACTCCAGGTCCCACAGCAGACATAAAAGACACTTTCAAGGTGGTTTTGGAGCCGGGGTTATCAATGATATGTTTGATGATATTGAGAGAATGTTTACTTTTGACAGACACACCAAACAGACTGAAAACCGGTTTCATGGTACGTCGAAACAGCACTGTAGAACAGTAACGCAACGCAGAGGTAATATGGTAACTACTTACACAGACTGCACTGCATCATAGGGTGCAATGTAAATGGCTTAATAAAATGCCTTAAAAGCATACAACATATTTGTATTTTTCAAGTTGAAGAAAGCCAGTTGGTTCAAAATACTGTGAAGCGTGAACATTTGTGTTAAGCACTGACATTCAGGAATGACAGGCACTGAATAAACAGGCAATTTAGCTTAGTTTTAAAATGAAATAAGCTATCTTTTTCCAACATATTTCCAGCATATTTTCACTTGTGAGTGATTGTTGTAGTTTTTTGCTTAGTGGTGAAGTAAGCAGTTTTGTCAGTATTTTTTCCAAGCACCTTCTTTTGATAATGAAGTTTAAAAACATTATCTTGTTACAATTGTGGAAAAATAAATAACATAAAATTTAAGAAAAAAATATATGTTGCTCAATATTGCACAGAAATGTATGTGTTACGAGTTCGCCTACCACTATTTTGTACAGGTTCTTTGTAAAGGGTTTGTTATTTTAACTCCACAATCACATATACTGGCAGAAACAGTGGCAGCCAGCAGTGTTTTGCTTGCAGCTGTCAAATGAGCAGAAACAAAAAACCTGTAAACCTCCACATGTTGGTTTGTCTAACTTGTGTTTTGGAGTTTTTACTTGAAATAATAAAATATTCTTGTACTCTACAATGCTGGACCTTTTATGAACACTATGATCATGAAATTACAGCCAGTTCAACATGAAAGAAATTGGTTGATAGCTGGAAAGCCAAAAATACAAGTAAGAGAGGATTGTTTGGGACTTGGATTTAAGTGGAAATTGCTTCATCTAGCCTCAAGATAATTTGTCAGATACAAATGATGTTGATTCAAATAAAATATGTTTCACAAAGGTTTTGCAGGCCTAGCAGTGGTTCTCTGATTCACTGAGACCCACAATGTTTCTGACATGTATTACACAACATACCACAACAATGTATTGCCTCCAATATTCATTAATCATTAATAACTAAAGTTTATATTTAAAGAAGTCAGCACAATAGTATCAGCAAACGCTAGTATGCTGAACTTAACATACTCATTTTTTTTTTATTTGAGTTGTCATAAATTAAAACGCTTCCTTATAGCTTAAAAATAAATTGTCAATGTTGCATCAGTCTGGTTGTGTTATTTCCATTAAAAACGTGTTGTTGTGTTAGGGTATGTGTAAAGTAAATTGTGGAAGGACTGTTAAAACTGAACTGCCTCGGAAGCATATAGGCTTTTAATGCCTCTTGTGTACTACAAGCATCAGTGCTGGTTGAGTTTAACACTGTTAATATTCCTCATTATTTCGCTCCTGTATGAAGTGCACTTGACACTCTGCTATAATGTAGTAAAATAAGCAATAGCCAGCGCATAATAAAATGTCCAGACAAAACTTTGAATTAGAATTAAATTTTTGTCTGTGTTCCTATAAATATTTTGACGCTCACCGTGGTTACTGTTGCGTTGCGGGAAAAATAATTATTATTGTGGGAGTACGGCTCACGATGTAGCCTCTAGGAAATGTAGTTCGGCAACAATCGAATCTCGAGAAAGAGGCGTAGCTGCGTTTGACTGTCGTGAACGTCAAGTCCCATAATGCAACTGTGACTAACTACGTGCGTAGATGTCCGATCCGAAGACAAACCAGTAGCTTTTAGCTGCGGGACATTGAATGACTTTGTACCCGTGTGCGTTAAGAAAGTTCTCTGTTTGACAGGTTTAGAATCGGCGCTAATGGAGGCACTTATACCTGTCATAAACAAGCTGCAAGACGTATTTACAACTGTCGGCGCAGACACAATCCAACTGCCGCAGATAGTTGTTGTGGGAACACAGGTGAGAGACGTCACTTTGCTTGAAAGCTAACTTTTAGTTAGCCTGCAGCAACTTATTGTTTTGACTCATTGTTTTCACCGCAGTTTTTCTTTCACTTTCACGCAGACACAGTACTATTAACTGTCCATAAAAGCATAACGTGGATTTTTAATTGTTTTAGTTTACTGCCATAGTAAACTAAGCAGGGTTACGGTTGACAGTTTACAGTAGTGTTTATCCACATGTTCTAGCCTTGTGGTTAGTCTCCAGAAAACAAAATCAAGTGCTGTTTTTTTTAATCTAGTTACATAAACAATTTGACCAGCCGTCTGTCGTTTTTATGGAAAACACAATTTGTACTTACGACTTTATGAATAACCTAGACTAAATTTAAGTTTGCCAATTTCTGAAGAACACCTATCTACAACTAGTGCATCCCATCAGTATTTTATCTGGCAATTCTTTAGAGATTTAATATACTATTAGTTATATTTATCGCATCTTTGTTAATATTACAGCGGTGAACAATTAATTAAAAACGTCTTTCACCCTACTGTACCCAAGTGCAATTTAGCAGCACCACAAAAACTATTATTGACATGAAGTCAACATCTATAATACAGTTTCTCACTACCTTGTGGAGTAGTGAGACATTGAAGCCTAAGTGGTTTAAAGTGGGAGGTTTTGCCTAAGGCTAATGGGATGTGACTGTCTCAGACGTATTGGCAGGGATGTGAGGGTGTTAGAGTAAAACCAGGCAAGCCAAAGGATGTTTTTGACCCATTAAGACCGGATGCAACGTGCTTGTGTCTGTTCTTTTAATCTTTGTCCTTGTCAATGCTCTGCTTCAGTTAAGAGCAGCTCAGAGATTACACTGAAGGTTTTAATAATTGTTTTTTGTCTGTGTGTCTTGTCCATCATTAGACTGACTTATAGCAGTCAGATCAACTTTAGGTTTACTGCTACAGCTGCTGCTCCTACTGTGGAAGATTACCTGGCCGTTTATGTGCATTTTGCTAGCTATGTGAAGTATTTCACTTTACACACAGTTTCGTTAGAGATGACTCAACTACAAACTGAATCAAGCCTACAGCGCTATGCAAGTGTCTCCTTAAATATTGAAGAATCTGGGCAAGTGGAGAATAAAAGAAATCGTCACAGGCCTAAAAACCTACCTGTAGCAGATGCACAGTATCTGAAAGTCATGTCCTTAAGAAATAGGGTAAAAGTCCAGCAGTGACCTGAGAGATGCATCTGGCTCTTCAGTTGATACATCTAGTGTTCACCAATCAGAAATGGTGGCTGTCAAGAAGCATTTCTTAAGGAACTGAAAAAGGTAGAAAGGCTGAGCTATGCCAACATTACACAAAAACTGAACTGAAAATCAGCAGGTCTTCAATTTCAAATCATTCAAATCCTACTCCTGAAGACTACTTAAAGAAATTGCAAGAAAGTTTGCCTTAGAGAGTTCAGGCTGTGAAGAAGAATAAAGGTGGTCATATGAAAGTTTGACTTTAAAGCTCATTAGAATTTTACAAATTCTGTTTCTGCCTTATGTACTGTGTTTCCATATATTTTTGCAGGTTTAAATAATCGTTGCATTTATTTCCCTCTTTCCATGTATGAGGGGTGGCTTGAGACTTTCACACAGTCCTGTATCAATGGAAACAGCATCCCTTATACTGGTGTTAATGCATTATAGCGCTTCCCTCCTGTGTAGACAAAAATAGTGCACAGGTTAAAAAACTTGAATGTTTGTCAGAACTCCAAACTTTAGTTCCTAAATTAATACTAGTTCCTCTACTAATGCCTGAAAACATTTGTTCAGCGAAAATGGGCTTTAAAAAATAGTGTAATGCTAACCTCTCATGGGGCTTCCTGTGTGAGAGTATTGGTTCATGTACAGCAAATAGAATGGTAAATGGTAAATGGCCTGTATTTGTATAGCGCTTTTCTAGTCCCTAAGGACCCCAAAGCGCTTTACACAACCTGTCATCCACCCATTCACACACACATTCACACACTGGTGATGGCGAGCT